CGAGGAGGGGCCTTCAGCCCCGCCGTGATACCGAGCGTGTCTGGCTCCTGGAGGGGTGTCTTCACTGTTGCCTCTTCATTAGCTCAGCGGTGCCAAGAAGCCCCGAGGCCGGGTGAGACGCCCCCAGGGGCAGGGCTTCTTTCTCAAGCCTTTCTGTACTAGGGCCCATGTGTGAACCCCGCTGCCCCGCAGGCTGTGTGGGGCAGCCCCTGGCAGCCTGGCACTCTGCAAGGGGCAGCCCAGGGTTTCCCACGCTCACCTCCTCTAAAGGAGCCTCTTTTTTTAAAGTCTGGCCCCCTGTTTCGAGAGGGTGTTTGCCCCCCTTTTTCATGCAGTCTGGCGGGCTGCCCCACGGGTTGAGGAAGGCCGGGCGAGATGACCTCCGGAGGGGCAGCCCTCTTCTCCAGCACAGCTGTTCGTCATTGTTGGCAGAGATGTCGGGGCGCGGAAAGTTTTCTCGCGGAAAATTTCCCAAAACGGAACATTTTCCAGCGTGTGATTTTTTTTCCGTGGGCAGTTTTCCGTTTCTTGAAATTCGCTGTTTCATAAAATTGCTTAGTAACAGTGAATGGGTGCCTAATACAATTATTAGGCAAACTCATTGGCAGCAATGAGCGGGTGCCTAATACAATATTCGCCAAGCTTGGCAGTTTCGAAGTTGTAATGCATGTTTTCCAGGTGATTATCCCTAGAGAGAGTACAAAAATGTTTTGTTGATTTGTAAGCAGGAGGGGAAATACACTCACATAATCGTCCAAACCCAAAATCAAGTTATGAATTCATCTGATAGTCTGTGCAGGTCAAATCAAAACCAAAGCACAGCATATCATGGGCAGTGCTTTGGGTGTGCTAAAATTAGTGTGTTGACAGTTTTCAGTGCCTTCGGGTTTTTTCCTTAAATTTAAACAAAAAATGTAAGGGAAGTACATGCTATTGTGTATTGTCTTTACATTTTTACAAGTATTCCAATCACAATAATTTATTTCCACGTGAAGCTTGCGATTTGTTTAAATATCGCATTTAAACCACATTAAGTGTGCTGTATTTAATTTTTTTCCTAAATAAACATTTCGGTTCAAATATTTGTGGCTATTGGGACCTACAGTTAACATGAGGTACTCTTTTAGTTTTGTGTACTAAATATAAACCAAATAAACATGCTAAATCAGATCACACGCTATTTAGGGCATTGGAAAATTTTCTAATTCAAACTTTTCCGGAAAACCCACATCTCTGGTGTTTGGCGGTGGAAGGGACCTTACAGATCATCGGGTCCAGCCCCCCCTGCACTTGGGCAGGAAAGACTGCTGGGGTTTCTCAACCTGTGGGTTGCAACCCCAAAGGTGAGTCGCAAGAATATATGAAAGGGTGGCAAGCAAGCTTTAAAAACGGATCAGCAAGCTTTAAAGGAGAAAAACGTGGGGAACTGCGGGTTTCCCTTTGTAGGCTAGCAGAGTTCCAGCCTGCGAGGGGCTGCTTGGGGCTCCCCCTGCCTCACATACACCCTTGTCCCACACACTGGGGGCTGGGGTAGCTTGGCAACCAGGCTATGGACTAAAGCCTTTTATTTCCATTGTCTGACCAGCTGAACTTGAAGTACAGGCCCTCATTCTCCTTTTCCTTGCCTCCTGTTATTGAGAATTTCAATTCAAAGAGAAGACAAGATGCTGCCATTTGGATCTAGTGGCATTTAATGCCTTCTTTGCACAGAGATAAGTGACTACATAGATGCATGGTAATGGAGAATAGGAACCAAACTGCATTAGGTTTTCTGTTTTGCATAAAAGGCATTGAAAGTTTTCATTTACTTTTACATTTCATTTTCTTTTCTTTCAAGGTGTGATGCCACCGAAAGGGAAAAATAAGCTACCTGTTCCCCTTCCAGAAGGAATGGTATTGAAAGACACTGAAGGGAAAGTGTGGAGACTGGGCACTATGATTGGTCAAGGAGGATTTGGCTTGATCTACTTAGGTAACGTGTTTGTAGTATTTTGTGGATAAGATATTTTGTTAATGTGTTAGCAGTACTTTTACTTTATCTGTATTAACAATTTCCTTTTTATCACTACTGATCATTGGTGCTCATGTGATTTATGAATGCATTTCATCATCTTCACAACACAACTGCTAAGAAGTTTTGTGATGGAACTACAATATTCTTAACTGAACTTTTTCAGGGTGGTAGTGCTCAAACCTTTGGCCTCTTAGGCTGGATAAGTGGCATAGGCCGGTCCTGTGATTTGAATCCAGCTGTGGAGTGACCCTGTGCACTGATGCATCTGGCATGTAGGGATACGTCATCTGGTCTGGGGGATTTCCCATGGGTTTGGACATTTCGGGGCAGGGGGAGCTGTGGCAGCATCAGTTGCTGCAACTCTGGAAGCAATTACCACTACCATCACTCTTCTGCCGCCTAATTTCTATACTGATGGAGAGCCCCGTGGAGTAGGTGACAGCTCTGCAGATTTGGCCTGCAGGCTGGAGGTTGAAAATCAGTGGTTCAGAGTATGGTTGGCATATGCTATATAGAAAAAAAGCATTTACCTTAGCCATATTTGAGTCAGTAGTTATTTAAATGCTTCTTGGTGCTGTGCAGTGTCATGAGTGGTGACACTGATTCAGTCAGTGGCATTCTTTCCCTTGAGTTAGTACTGGTTCGGTGCTACTGTGGGCTTTGGAGGTACCATCCATAAGCTGAGACATAAAATCACGATACAAGATTTTTGGTCACTTCAGAACTGTTGTTGGTTTTCTCCACTAGAAGTAGTGCTAACTTTGGCACCATATATGAATTAAAACCATGAACTTCCTTGCATTTTCAATTGGAAGTGGTATTCTTTACTGAACCTGTTGCTATACACTCTTCAACAGAAGCTGCTTTTCGCTCCTGAGGTAGTTATTCTTCAGAAGGCTGTAAATGATTCTGATATACATATAAAACTGTTGTTGCTGTCTATAAAAGATTTATATTCTGTTTTCAAAGCAGCATTATAGACTTTTTCTGCACTGCACATTTGCAGTATACACATGAAAACTAGTTCACAATGATCTGTCAGGGACTAAATTGAGCTTGTACTGAGACTTCAGGATTAATTTTATACTGCTTAGCAAGAACGATGTAGTCCATCACCCCTAAAGGCAAAGATTCTCTATTTCATTTTTTTTAAGTTAGATAGTGGAATGTTAGATACTATTTCCAGATTCTTGGTATTAATATTTAAAACCTTGCTGATCAAATACATAGACCAACTGCACATTGAACATAAAAGCTTAAAAGGTACAGCTGATTTTTTTTCTCTCCCTTTTGTACGTGTTGTCATGGAAAGTATAATTGCACTTTTTTGGCATCCGTTCTTTCTTTGTTTCGGGTAGTGTCATTTCTTTATTTTCTATTTTCCCTTCTGTTTGTTTTTTTTAGCCTGTCTATTATGATGCCTTGTTTGTACCGAATGCTTTGTCAGAGGATAATCTCCTAATATGTTGGATGATAGCAGAAGCTTTCATTTTGGTATGGTTTTTCAGACAACTGTTACAAGACAACTTTTCATTAGAATGAATATTGTATAGCAAATGGTTTACTTCTCAGTTCTCTTGTTTATTAACTGCAAGTAGACCCCTGTCTACTTGCACCTGCCTGCATTGGTAGACCCCTGCACCTGTCTGGAGCTACACCAAACTTGGTGGGGCTTCAGGCAGGCAGAGTACTTGGCCCACTTCATGGAGTCTGGGTGAACAAACTTATATTTCCGTGGAAGTGTTAATTCATGGGGTTCTAAAAATAAGCATCCAAATGAATGAATGGAACAGAGGTCCTCCTGCATTTCTCTGTCAGGTAATATTGTCCATGCTTTGCTGGTCAGAAACACCTGTTATTGAATGAAACTCTTCCATGAATAGGCGATGAGTGCACAATGGCAGTAACCCGTGTTTTTACTTCTTGGAGACTGGTCTTGCATATGGTCAGATGTTGTTAAAAGAATGCTATAGAAGCCTACGTTGCTTACTGTCAGCAACAGGAAGAGTTGCCAATATTGCTTCTGCATCCTGAAATCCTTGACTTCAGGGACAAAGTGAGTACATTTTTTGAACAAACTGAAAAGAAGGATTGTGGACAAAGCAGCAATTAACTACTCTAATGTGCTCTGTCATGGAAATTGTGTCTTCTATTTCATTGCATACATAGAGAAGAGTAAGAAGGCTTCATTGGCAACCAATCTACCATTGCTTCTGATTGTTCTCCACACATTTATATAGCCATTCATTTAAATAATATGGAGACGGAGACAACTAATATGAGCTTGACAACAATCCCAGTAATGCTTAGTTCAATCCATGTGAAGACAGCCAGAGTTTCATTCCAGGATTTTGCTTCATTCTATGTTCCACTATAAATGAAGTAGCGTGCAAACCATTTTTTTTGTTTTTTTAAATTCTACACTGTCCAATAACATTCTCTCCTAATATTCATCTCTCTTAATATCTTTTTGTCAGATACTTTATCAACATCTGTTGCCCAAGGTCAAAAAGGAAAGGGAAAAAAAAAACCTTGCTGCCATATCTCTTTCTTGTTCTATTCTGTAGTGTTCTATTCATAGCCTTCCTTGGGTGAGATCAATAGCCAAGGCCCCTCAGAAATGAGCAGTCACAGAAAAGGCGAAGGGCAGAGCAGTTATGATATTTAAATTTTTTTCTTTTGATGTACATGATACCTTTTATGACCTTCCCTGCAATATCAGTCAGTTGCCTTGGAGAGATACTATGCCTAAAGCATATATGGGAAGCATAAGAAAATAGACCTTAGCATGAGCAATGGAATGAAGTCAAGGTGCCACCAGAGATTGCTGTTCAAGGATTATTTGTAGGGAGGGGGTGGAAAAAGGAAGTAATGGAAGGGGAAATAGAAACTCTCAGAGGGCTCCCGTAGAGAAAAGAAACTGATACATGGGACTTGGGTGTAATGCAACAATGAAAGAAGAATCCAGGGGGGAGTAATTCAACTGAATTAAAAAATGTGCCTGAGAGCCATGAAGAGGATGGCTCTGTGGTACTTCCTGTTGCAGTAAAATCATACAAAAAACTTGTAAGTCACACAGAGATCATTATGTTTCATACAGATTTGGTTAGTTTTCTGCCTGATCACACAGACCACCAAGATAACTTCATCTGTCATAATGTTTATTATTTTGAATCTTGGCAAACTGAAGCAGAAAGCAGCCAGTGAACTAACAGAGAATCAGATTGCAGTCCAGGGTCTTCACATAAGCAGCTGGATGTTCCTCCTGGGAGGTCTGCAGTGTAACAGAAGAAATACAGCTGTTGTTCCTGCTAGGATTCTTACTGCCATCCTTCTAATGGTGGCTAGGATTGATTTTAGTCCCCTTACCCCTTTCAAAAGGGAGACTAAATGCTTGACATAGCTCTGCACTGAAAGCCTGGTTCCCCTTGTGACACAGAAATGGGAGAAAGGCATGTAGTGAAGTTGTGGCTAAAGTAGGCAATGGGCCAGACTTGCCAGTGAGAATGGACCCTGCAGGGGTATGAAACAAGGAAGTTGATTTCTTATGTTCACATGCTCATCTCTACAGGGAAGCATACTGATGTATGTGGATTAAACCTCATTTAGGTGTTCTTGTTGCTGAGAGAGGTCCTTTTTCAATCTTTGAGACAGAGTTGTCTTAATATACATGTTGGTTTATGTGACAGAGTGACTGCTAAACTTGCAATAAGGTGATAATCCAGAGGGAATCCTAGAGAACTGAACAAAATGTGATGCTGAGCAGGAGACATTAGGCTTGAATGTCTGCAAAATATGAACAGTGTAGCTCTTTATAAAAAAATAAAAGTTAACTTTACTGGCTGTATCTTTTAATAAGTATTTTTACAGCAGTGGTGTAAAGTTTTTGATGTGCATTGTTATAGCTTAATTCCCCATTAAGTGTTCCATACTCCATTAAGCTGTAACAATGTGCTTGAGAAATTTTATGCTACTTCTGCAAATATATTTACTAAAGAGCTTTTCTTAGAGGGTTCTCTTCACTAAATCAAACCTGCTGAAAGCTATTTAATGTCACAGAACTAGGGTTTGGCGGTGTAAGTAACTTTTTAAAGAAGGCAACACCTAAACTTTTCTATGTATACAAGTTTCTGGTCTCTGATTTTTATGTTCCTCCTTTCTAAAATATCTTTTAATACAGACATTTTCTTTGTTTTTTGGGGTTTTTTTTAAGTCTGTGCCTTTTCATCGATTTCTTGGGGCTTGCCTACGCCTCCTTATGTTTCAATTCTTGGATTTCCAGAGCAATTCTAAGTAGCATACAAGCAGTACAGTTCCTACCTTTGTTCCAGGAAGTGTAGTTTTCACTACTGTTTAAACTAGCTTAAACCTCTTCAGGAATATTATATGGCTTGTGCCATGGGGAGAATTCTGTGGCCTTTGAGCCAGACCTACTGATGCTGCTCCATGTTAGTTTTCTTCTTTGACCTGCAATTTACCAGTGGCTTGCCATGGCATAGCTTGGACAGAATCATACTAGTCCTTTGACAAGGGCAAGAAAAAGAAACATGACCAGGATTTCCATGATCCACTGACTGTTTTATTGCCCTGTGGGGATTGGTAGAAGTACATAAGAATTTAGAATGGTGTGACTTAAAGAGAGTACCAGACACTCATTTATCTCCCTGATCACAGATAATGATTAATATGGGACTTGATATTAATCATTCTCTAGTCTTACTGCAAGGACTCCATTAATGCACAACTTGAGCTGAAAATTTAAACATAAAAAGGTCACAAGTGCTCAGTTAAAGTTCTAAAACCCAATGTTAAATGTCACCATCCACATATAAGTTTGACATTTCCTTTCCTTCATTCCCAGTGATTATACTTTGACTTGAAGTGTTCAGTAGTCCTGAAGTCCAACTCTTTGCCCAAAGGCAGGATACCCTATTCCTAAACAATCCCAGGTAAATTCC